ATGCTGCGACGCAGTCTGGCCAAGTACTACGCGGGGACCCAACTTGCCAAACGAGACCAAGGCAAGGCCTTCGAGGTCACTCGGAAGGCCCCAGTATCCAACCACTTCCTCCGAAGTGGCAGGAATACCCGCTTCTGCGACTGGCGCTTTATACATCGCGCTGCCACTGAACGCTGCCCAAAGGTGACGACCTGGAGCGGACAAAAGGTGTCGCAAGTGCGGTGACCCTCTCGAGACACTGCCACACGTACTCAACCACTGCGGTCCACACGCAGCAGCACGACAACTGAGGCATAACAACCTACAGGATAGACTCGTCAAAGCCGTAAGATGTCGAGGATCCATCACGGTGAATCGGACGGTCCAGGGGGTCCAGGGATCGGCTGCAACACTAAGGGCTATACTGTCCGAGTCGAGGCCTTCGTCGTTGGAGCCCTTGGAGCCTGGCATCGTCGGAACGAGCCTGTGCTTCGTCTACTGGGAGTCGGACCTCGCTATGCTGGGATGATGAGGAGGTTTATGGTCAGCGACACCATGAGATGGTCCAGGGAAATCTACGTGGAGCACGTTTCGGGCGTGCGCCAGTACAGTGAAAGTGTGACTAATGAGCCCTAGGGCATTTGTGTCTGTGATAGCTATTGTGATATCTAGTCGTGTTTATACTGTGCATACTTTTTTCCAGCAATTTTTATATCTATATACACACTATTGTGATTTTAGTTTACTCTATANGGCTGTGTGTAGATGGGCAGCTACAAAGGACTCCTAAACGAAGAATGTTTCAGCCAACCATTACAATAAGTTGTACCAACTATCGGACCAATTCATAAAAATACACAAGTCGTAGTGACGAAAACGGTTACTAAAACAAAAGTATGAAGCTTTAAAGTTCTGAACAATATAACAAACTTATAACAATTTTGCTTGTGGCATAAATAACTATTCTAAAATAGTACAATACTTATAACAAGAAAACTATATTACAAAAGCTATTGTGATATCTAGTCGTGTTTATACTGTGCATACTTTTTTCCAGCAATTTTTATATCTATATACACACTATTGTGATTTTATTTTACTCTATAACTGTTGTATTTTAACTTATTGATTTTTTACCTTTATTTATTGATTATTTTATGACTGTTTATTATCATCAGACGTGCTTATGTGTATATATTCTATATGTCTTATATTTATGCGTACTCTACAGCTACAAACTCAAAAAGAAAAGTGAAGCGATATTTTATTTATTTTTATTAATTTTGAAACTATAAAAACTATTGACTGAACTATAGTGAAACAAATGTGATACTATGAATATTATTAATTAATTAGCTACACTGACACAATAAAAGTATCTATTCTTATCAGCTTAATATGGTCTTGTATCTAATGTGAGTAAATCAATGTGGAAGGAACTAGGAAAACATAAATTACATAGAACATCTATGCTGCTAGCTTATGGTGATAAACCAATCGATACATTAGGAAAATCAGTGTAGAGGTAGAAGCGTTTGAGAATAAATTAAAACTTCAATTTTATGTAACAGAAGAATTATTCCTCTTTTTGGACTAGACTGGTGTTTCGCATTTAAATTACCATGCCTTCTGGTGCGAAAATACTTCATATCAAAAACATAGATCATCATAAAGATGTGGGGAAAGAAGATGTTGACAAAACCTTTATCACTGACATTCTGAACGAATTCTCAGAAGTATTTAAGAGTGGTTTAGGCACCATAAAGGGACATCAAGCAAAAATTTGTATTGGGGAAGATGTTATTCCAAAAAGATTTGGCCGTAGGACTGTGCTCTTAGCAATTCGGCAAAGCTTAATAGATTGGTTCGTGATGGTGTCTTAGAACAAATTGATACTACCCATAATTTCGTGGGCATCTCCTATCGTAGTAGTAATGAAATCAAATGGAAGTTTACGAATTTGTGCTGACTTCAAAGTCACAGTACACAAACGTGTTCAAATTGATGATTATCCTCTTCCAATATTTGAATATATTACTGAAAAAGCTTTCAAGCGGTAGGTATTTCTCGAAGATCGATTTAATAGACGCCTACATACAAATGGAAGTTCATCCAGAATTTCGCAAGTATTTGGTAATTGTCACCCACAAAGGATACCGAAGACTACCTTTTGGAATCAACTAGCATCGGCCCTGTTTCAACGTACTATAGACCACATATTGTTTGTTACCTGGACGACATCTTAGTAACAGCATTAAATTTAGAAATTCACGCTAAAATGCTAAAGGCCTTACGCCGTTTAATGCCGGCAGGAATTAAGACTCAAAAATCGACAAGCTACTTGCTGAGAAACAGCTTAACTTACATAGGACATAAAATTGACCGGGATGGTTTACATCCAACTGAGGAAAGCATTGATGCGATAAAAAGATTCTAACCTTTTCTTTTTTCCTCTGCGCCCTCCGTCCATGTTTCTCACTCGTACAGTTTTTATCAATCTTTTTCGAATTTCTAAATTAACCGTTTGTAAGCATATAAGTAACTTCTTTTTATTAAAGGTGACTCAACCCTACGCTATTTTCTGCTGTATATCCCTACTACTCCTTCCGTCCTGGCTTATCTGACTTCCTAGATACCTAAAATAAGCCACTTCATCTAATGTTTCGTCTCCTATCTTTTATATTCGGTCTTTCCCTACTTTTTATTCTCTACCAGTATTTATTATTTATTTTTTTATTACATCGGCATTTAAAAAAAGATATAAAATGGGATTGGTCCGAGGATGATTATAAAATATTTAATGATCTACAATCACAGCTAGCTTTTATGGATATATTAGTTCACTACGATTCAGCAAAACTTCTGGTTGTCATCAGTGATGCTAGTGTACTTTCGCATACATTTCCTGATGGATCTCTAAGGTGAATTGCTTTTGTCTCATGATCAATTAATGAAATAAAGAGACGATACTCTACGATTGACAAAGTGGCTTTAGGATCAGTATCTGCAGCAACAAAATTTCATCAATAGTTGTATCTAAGTCGTTTCGCACTCTTTACAGACCACAAACCATTATAATATACATATATTTGGCGAACATCGTCAAAAACCAAAAATAGCAAACAACGAATTGTTACGCTGGGTCATGACACTAAACAGCTATAATTTCGATGTTAATTACCAACTCTGAAAGAAAATTGTTCAGCCGACACACTCTAGGTTTTCCCCGCGGGATGCACATCATACTAAGTTACTACATTTAAGGGTTGAGAAGCTATCTTTAAATAGGAGAACCCCAAAAAGTAAAACGCTAAAGGATGATACTTTGAAAAAGTTACCAAATATATATCAAGTTATTGGCCTGATAAGAAACAATTTAACCAACGAGAACGGCCATTTTATAAGAAACCAGCAGAATTTTCTTTCGAGGAAGGTACTCTATTGTGAAAAGGTCGAATTTGCATACCATCTAGTTTACAAAATGAAGTCCTCTTTATGTTGCACGTCCTGTTATAACAGTCATGAAATTACTAGCTAAATTACACTTTTATTGGCCGCACATCAACGACGATATAGCCTGTGTAGTGTAGCAATGTATCTCGTACTACTAAATACTACAAAACTTATTATCAAAAATAAGCATTCTGTAGAGTTCAAACTCCTAGAATATTTTGTTAATGGAGCTAATTGTACATTGATTTCGTTTACTTTCAATTCTTACCGTAAAGCTATTCATTTCATTGTTGATTCTTTTTGCTGGGAAAAGGAGACAACCTTATTATTTTTACTATAATTTTGGTGCTAATGAATTTATTTTTAGTATATTTTCAAGCACAACAAATAAGGGCATTTGAGTTTTTCTCCAAAAATCCGTCGCTTCTCCGTTATTTAATTTAATTCAGTTTTTTCGACTACCAAACAGTCATCTTTAACGATTTGTCTGGAGTTATATTTTATATACAGAAACGAAAAAAAAAACAATTGACTTGAAAAGTTTCGTTTTTGGCTTCAGTAAACCTCTTTCATTGCGAATTTATTAAAAAGAAAACATTTATATAAAAATATGTAAAGAACATTTTTTATATAGAATCCCCCCTCCTCAGTTATTTTGAGGGTGCTAATTTTCACCACCTAAATTTCACGTCAATCAATGGAAAGAATTCGGAGCCAAAAACCGTCGTCTTGTGGACTATTATTGTTGCCGTTTGAAACAAAAAAATATCTGTCGGTATGTGTTTTAATACAAATATATTGTATTATGATTTACAGTAGGTACTTCTTTTCTTCCTATTTAAAATTATTGTGAAATTTCCCATTTTAGCCCACCTTCATTAAAACTTTGTATTCCTAATATTTTCTAATGCCATCGAATGCATCGATGATTCTTTTACCGTAATGTTTGAGGAATATGGTTCCCTATAAAAATAGGCTACTACTGTTTGCTTACCCTCGTCCTAATAGCTGCCTTAGTTTTAATTGATGTTATATACTGGCAAAACAGGTCTGCAGTTCCAACTCATTATCATAAGGTCGTCAGTCCTAAGACTGGTTGGACACGCACCTCCACTCTTTCCTATCCTGAGCTAACCTTCGCATTTCCCTAAAACTAGAACAACCCACATCCTTAATTATTTGCGAAAAGTGATCTAATCTAGGTCTATCTCTTCTCCTCTTAACTGCCTCTAATATTTCTCTAACTAGACCTTCATGCCTGAGAAGTTGTCCTACTAACCTATCTCGTCTATTTCTTATTGACTTCTATAGAGTTCTCTGTTCTATTATTTCTCATTGCTTTTCATTTCTAACCTTCTCTACCCACGGTATCCTCATTATTTGCCTGTAACACCAAATTTCGAACGCTTCTAACCTTTTCTTTTCCGCCCAATGTCCATGTTTCGCACTCGTACAGCGCCATATTCCAAACATACACCTTTAACAACCATTTTCGAATTTCTAAATTAAACGTTCACGAGCATAGAAGTGACTTCCGCGCATTTTTTTAAAAAGAATACTTCACTGTATAACTTTAGTTAAAATTTATTGAATAGAAGTATTGCTATTTTTAGATAAGTAGTTAATTCTTAAAGTGAGTCATCATCGTTATCGAGATCGACTTCTTCAACTGCAGCATTTTCATATTGCTGGTACTCCGAAATTAAGTCCCTCATATTTACTTCAGCATCTGCAAATTGCATTTCTTCCATTCCTTCTCCGGTATACCAATGCAAATAAGCCTTTCGTCTAAACATAGCTGTAAAGCTATCACCAATTCTCTTGAACAGTTCTTGTATTGCAGTAGTATTTCCAATAAACGTAGCACACATTTTTAAACCACGAGGTGGTATATCGCAAATAGCCGACTTGATATTGTTAGGTATCCATTCGATAAAGTAAGAACTAATAAAAAATTATAAGGAATTCAGTCGATTTTTTCAAATAATATACAGTGTAAACTCTATATAACGACACTTAAGAGACTGAACATTTTTCGGCGTTACAAAGAGTGGTCGTTAAATCGAGAGAAATAAAAGATATTATTTTACTATTCTATAATAATATGCATTTACCAATATAGTACATATTTTGCACACGAACATTATTATTCATACATTGCGTATAGCCTGTTATCTTCGTCTGATGTTTTTTGCTGTTCCAATATTTTAATTGTATTTTGTTACGTATCTTAGTCATATCTTGAGATACTGCTGGATCAATTTGATTATATAAAAAGTATTTTTTTAATAGTTTCGCTGCATCAAGTGCTTGTTTGATGCTTGGTGGAGGGACAGGATCGTCTTCTTCAACAACGTACACAGCTGTAGTTCTTATCTATTTCGGTAACTTAGAAAGTACTGCTCAATGATTTATAATGCCGCATTGTTGTCGTTAAATAGAGTGAGCGTGTCGCTATATAGAGTGTAATATTGTATAGAAAACAATGTAAACCAACCAAAGTAAAGAAATTTCGACGTTTTAAGGAGTTTGTCGTTAAATCGAGTGACGTTATAAAGAGTTTAGACTGTATTTCTTATGAGCTCATTACTTTAAAGTGAATTAATTTTTATCACCATAGATAACCTCGAATTAATGAGGAAATGTATAATCATTATTAGCAATGAGCCATTTGAGATTATTTGTAGTGGTAAAAATTAATTCACTTTAATATACTGAAACTACAAAGTTTTTTCAAAAATGTTTCAAAGTTATTTATTATTAATATGTACCTATTTTTGTTTTGTATGTTAAACATCTGTTCGTCGACTTCCCTGGTAGACATTCTCCCTCTAAAAATTGATGCTGCTGTAAGATACCTGTGAAATACATCATGGATAGGATAACTTATGGGGTATTATAATTATAATAATTAGACGTTTTTCATTCAGGGTTAAATATTATTGCCAAATATGTAATAATGTATTATTTACCCTTATAGTGTTGTAAATTATGTATTGTTTCGAAATCCTGGATGATAACATGGATTTTTTTAAAACCGTTTAATGCTACTATCAAAAGGCTTGCAGAAAGAAAATACAAAGATGTATTTGTGTGTTGAATGTTTATTTGTTATGTTTTTCGAACCAAAATTTTAAGATTTAATGTGTCATTACAATCTTTTTTATATAAAATTTTGTACTGTAAAAGATTGCCGTCGTCGCCCAACTTTCTGAAGAAAAAAAGTGATATTGTTGCACTATTATATTATTATAAGCACTTAGTAAACGGGCTGGATCGAAACTAACACCTCAATATTTATTTAATTCAGTTAAATTTTAATAAAAAAAATTAATCTGAAAATTAATTTAATGCGACCTCTACTACGTGGGCAGGAAAGGTGCCAATTCAATCTCCACTTTTCCGTTACCTTTCTTAAGAGATTATCGTTTGGCAGTTTAGCTCAACCCAACTAAACTTCACTATATCTTGGGGTAAGTAAACCAACAGATAGACTGTCAAGCAGACTTAATCCTTTTATGGAAGTACTTATTGTACAAGTATATTAATAATTAAAGGCAAATAAATACGACAATAAATTTGGTAAAGTACTTAAGCAACGTGAAAAACCATAACATAAATATGAAAAATTTAGTGTTCCGTAACAAAAAACCGCTGTAATCAATCGATTAAGGGCTATGTGGACGCAAATTAAGGTAGCTATCATAAAGATCGTCGTTCGTAAACGGACTTCATATTTATATTCTGAGGCAGCTCGATTTCTTGGGACTCCAGGATTCCTAGATTCGTCGTACATTGTGACAACCACAGCGCACTCAAACTAGCCGAGAGTCCAGTAATTTGCCCAAAGACGAAACACGTAGTTATACGCCACCATTTTAAAGGAATTTTACTAACTTGTTTTATGTGGATTTTTGTTTTTACCTCGTGTACCGAGAACGTCTCATTTCATTTTACATTGTATTTTCTTGTGTCATGAATTTTTTCAGTTCACATATTTTCTTATTGTTTATTTTTTTGTCCTGCAACAGCTATATTACATTCGAAGTGCACCCTTTTCCAAATACAATTGTGATTAATTTATTTATTTGACGTGTGAGTTAGATTTGATCTGCTTTGGTTTTATTTTCATGTGTTATTCATTTTATTGTGTTTACGTTTTACAAGTATTTATTACTTTTGCTTTACTCTTGTTGTGGCAAGCATGGTTTTCTCTCCCACAGGCTGAGTCTGGAACTACTACTATCACTACTTTGGCACTACTATCATTATTACTCCTAATATCACTATTACCATTGGCACTCCAAATTGCTAAAAATTAAACATTGTGTTTCATGTCAACCTTTGCATCCCTAATGTTTAACCCGTACCAATTTTTCACTTTCCATTTTTGGAAAGGTCTCTTACAATCACAGCGTAAGTGCTTTAGATGACGATCACCTTGACCTAGGTAAGTTACACTACAACGTGCTTTCAATCAATGTACGCAAATTCAAGCTCTTTTATTCAGTTCTATGATTAATTTAGTTGTTTTAGTTTTAGTTGTCGGTGCATTCTAGTTTATGAAAAAAATAGAGTAGTTATACCACAAGTTAATGTTAATATTTAATTGAAGTTGTAAGTTAGTTGATAATACTTATTTTTTCGTTAATGAAATCAAGAAAGCACAACAACAAACACAAAATCCAAATAGCAAATGTAGTGACAACTTCGCAGTTTTATCTGCAAATCTCCCAAACGATAAGTATAAAGAATAACTGATACGTGTAAATTTCAATACAAACATTCGTCTGAAGGAATCAGTGTATACTTTTTCCCTATAATTGCGTGACAGATCACTTGTTGTATTATGTTTACTATATTTGTACCTATGAAAAATGAATAATGTAGTCCTATTAAACATTATCACTAACTAGTGGCAAAATCAGCAAAATGTAATAATGTACCTTCCTTTCCTCGGATCACATGCGCACATCATATTTTTAGCATCGAACATTTGATGTACAAGTTCAGGGACTGTTAAACTTCGATATGCGACTGTTGATCGAGCTGTAAGGGGGACAAAGCCAGGCATAAAGAAGTGTAAACGTGGAAATGGAACCATATTGGTCATTATTTTTCTCAAGTCTGCGTTAAGCTGTCCAGGAAACCTGACGATAATAAGGTATTCAGTGAAGTCAAAATTAGAAAATTCTTTGATTTTCCTATTCTTTTTCGACGCACTCTCACTTAAGACTCAATAGGTATTTCAATATATGAATTTATATTTCATTCGCATTATAAGCGATAGAAATAAAACCTTCAATTTTTGAAATGAAACTTCTTTATTTAGATACGTAAATGCTTCGGATCTCCACAAGTTTCGTGAAACAATATAACTTGAATAAAAGGGAATAATTATAATTTGTGATTGAACCGGAGATTCTGCTCTCCATATTATTTATAGCGTTGCTTTAGTGCATAAGCACACGATTAGTTGAGAGCTGATAATTAGTGTTGGTACTTCAGTCCAATTCTTATTTGCGACGTTTCGTCGGCTTTAACGTTAACCTCATCAGGCTAGTCTGAAGTGAACATTTCAGATTAGCCTGAATTATCATCAATTACATTATTTATAATGCACGTGCTTCATTTAGTAAATGCAATCGCGACCTCTTTCTTCTTACGAATCGATTAAGAAGTTTCACCTCTATCACACACGCTAAAATTCATACGTCCTTTTCTAGTACCTAAAACAGGTGGTTACTCCTGACATTACAGCGGATATAAGATGATTCATATCCTCATAGCTTGGAGCTGTCAACTTCAAGGTTCTATAGCAAATATCGAACAACGCTTCGTTATCGATAATATAGGTTTCGTCAGTGTTGTTCATAAGATAATCAAATGATAATACTGCATTGTATGGTTCAACCACCATGTCTGATACTTTTGGACTTGGAATTATTGTGAATGTACTTATAATTCTGTCCGGATATTCTTCTTTAATTTTTTCTAGAAGTAAACACCCTAAGCCTGATCCAGTTCCTCCACCGATCGAATGAACCAACTGATAAATAGATACATAAAATTGAGACATATGAAAAAATTATCAATCTGAATTGCAACGTTAATCTTGGTCTACTTTTAATCAATAATACTGTTATGTAAACAAAATCAAGTGGGAATACCATTTTTCTGAAGGTGCGTGTTATGAAATATAGTGTAGTGTAGGCTGAGGATCAATTAGAAAGTCACTTGTGTATAAATACTACTTATTCCACAATAGACAGCCACGAAAATCAGAACCAGCACCAACAAAAAGCGCGCTAGCAATTGGTTACACTACCCTAAACTATTTAAGGTAAATCATTTAAGATCAGCTCTTCTTGGAGCTAAAAACTCAACGCACACCAACCGGCCCGGCTGTGATTTTTATATATCAATAAAATCATCGACAGAATAAACAGAATAAAATCACACAAAGTTGGAGTAAATAGTGTGTCCCCAACGACTAACCCCTTTTGCATTTCGATATTTCTCTCGAGCGTGAGCGACATCCTTTTCTAGCCGAATGCTATGGTTCTTATTTATCATCTGCGCCGAAATTGAAAAAGTCAGGGGCCGTCACTCTATGGTTCAGGTGTATAACACAAACGAAAACTAGATTCTAATAAAACGCGTTCCTAATACGATCATATTATTAAAGAATTTTACGTATTAAATTTATTCTCGGAAATAACCATCGCTATGGCTGCAGTACAATTTTTTTCATGGCGTAACTACCCTAATTACCTTGTCGCCTATCTGAACTATCCCGTCCTACTACCAAACTTGCAAATAACATACTTTCACCTTCTATTTAAAATTTACCGATTACTTATATTTGCATTATTTTTTATTTCTGTTTTTTCGCTGTTTCATTGTAGTTTCTCATTTACGTTCCGTTTCTATATTGTCTTAGTACGCTTCCATTTTTTTTTTAACAATCGCTTTTTTCTATTTTTGTTATTGATTTCTATCGTAGAACCGCCGGTCTTTTTATTAACCACAGGTTTGCAATGCATGCTCTATCCTATCCCGTTATCTATTTTGTTTATTTATCGTGCGAAATTAATTTTAGAAACAAATTTGTTTCTTCTCCTATCTTCCCCAATGCTTGCTTTGTGCTGAGTGAGTATAAGCATGTCCTAGAGGATCAGACCATTGCTTAGCATTCGGAAGGACACCTGTTCGATTCTGGATCTGTCTGCGTCCAAATTTTTCTGTGGTTTCCTTAGGTCACTTAGGCAAATGCTGGGGCAGTAATTTTCCACAGATAATCTTTTATTATCTTCTGTCTTCATTTAGTTCGCCTAGTCTTTTTTATAACTGAAAGGAGGTTGAAGAGAACCTTCCGCTCTACCCTCTGGAGTAGTCCGAAGTGACTGCCCGCCCATTAGCATTAGTGGCTGGTAGGAAAGTTTCTTTTTATTACAGGCATCTCCGACATTCTACCCATCCGCGGCAAGTAAGAGCTAGCCTTCATCAACCACTTTAGTCTCCAAGTTCCTTTTTTAGTTACCACCCGTCAGGGGCCAAGTGTTCTGGTTAGTGTTACTGCATTTTTATTTGTGATTTTACCTATAATTATCCTTATTTTTTTGTTTGATGTTGTGTTTTCATTATTAGTTTAGTTCTAGTGTTGTACATAGTAGCTTTATAGCTGGTTAGGTTTAATTATGTGTAAATAAACTGTTTAAGCAAGCAAGACTACATCAATCTTTGTAAATATTCACAAAATAAATATACTTAATTTGAATTTTGTTTTTAATTAATTTACACAAAAGAATAACCTGAAAGCCCTGCATGCAGTCACAACTTTCGGCTTCTTTTCGTGTGATATCCAATATAACATCACATAATTCGGCGCCTTCTGTATAATGACCTTTGGCCCAGTTGTTTCCAGCACTTTCCCTTCCAAACACAAAATTGTCGGGGTAAAATAGTTGACCGAAAGGTGATGACCTTACATGATCCAATGTTCCTGGTTCTAGGTCTATCAAAATAGCACGGGGAACAAATCTATGTCCTCGAACACTGTTGTAATATACATTTAGACGTTGGAGCTGTAGATCAGATTCTCCGTGCCAATGCCCATCAGGACAAATTCCATGTTCATCAGATACCACCTCCCAAAACTTAAAAAGTAGCAAAAGAATATCGAGATGTTTTTCATTTATTGAAGAAACATTGAAAATACAACACCTATTCGTTTCATAAAGGTCTTAAACGTATCAAATGATGAGAAAACGAAAATCACAGTCATCCAGATAATTTTACGGTGCAGAATTATTAATGTGTATAGAAGAATTAGGAATTGAAACGAATAAGAAAATCGTTTTTTAAAACTTATTTGAATTTCTGAAAATTGACTACAAATATAATAAATGTAGGTATACCGAAGTAATAACAGGAAGACCGTAAGACGATATCTGTGGCAATTTGTAGTTGTAGATTCAATAACAGTTAACAAGATCCTTTGCAATTAATAATATCTATTTGTTTAACCGAATTTGCGGCATAACTAATAAGGCTAGGGTATCGAATGAAATAGAGCGATATGTTCTTAGACAGCGTTTTGTCGAAACTGAAGAGTTTGATATCTAGTAAATCCAACAAAGTGCTAAACAAGAACGTATTCTGTGTTTTATTCCGGGCTTTTTGGCCTTGGTCCGTGGAATCGTGCTTTTCCTGACGTTTCGCCGTTCTTTGCTGACGGCATCTTCAGTCGTAACTGAACAGTCACCACTAAAGATGCCGTCAGCAAAGAACGGCGAAACGTCTGGAAAAGCAAGATTCCACGGACTACGGCCAAAAAGCCCGGAAGAAAACACAGCATCGATAGACGCCGGCCGTGAAAGAGTAAGAACTACAAGAACGTATTGTTTTTCTTTTCTCATTTTACTTTATTGAATGTCAGAGATACAATAATGTTAATAAAATGTAAGGTAGAAACAAATATATTCAAACCAAAATATTAAAATTAGTAATAAAAAAAACAAGTAAAAATGGATCTTCAAAAAGTAAACCAGAAGGAAAATAAAATATGACACAAAGTTGAAAGCAGTTTTGTATCTGTAAATAGTAAATCCAATAATTTTTACGTACTTTAGTTCCAATATTATTTCCCGCTGCTCCAATTTGTAGATGAACTATTTCTCTCATTTTTTTCTTATTCACTAGAATTTAGATATTTTTTCCAAAAGTACAATTACAATAGTTTAGTTAAAGTTTGACTATGACTTTGTCATTAATGACATTAGGTACAGTATTTCCATTGTTTTGAGTTTTACAAGGCAATTATTTGCAGAAACGAAGATCGCTTACATTAAGTTGTTATAAGTTTTTTATCCGTTTACTCTTTGAGACTATAAATTATCTAATTTTTCGTGGCTTCGAGCTCCGTTCGGCCATTCATTCCACACTTCATATAGAACGCAAAGATAATATGGCATCACTGTTGTATTGCCTTGCGTTCATATATAAAAAGAATTATTCTCATTATTTCCAATAGTGTTCTAATATACGAGGGTGGATTGATAAGTTTCCGGCCTGACCAAGAAAAACAAGGTTTTTAAAAATTTTTTTTTTTTATTTCTCAACATAATCTCCTCCAAGGCTGATACATTTCTCATAGCGGTGTTCCAGTCTATTAATGCCATCTCTATAGACTGATTCGTCAAGCTCCTCAAAATAACCATTTACAGCTTCGATTACTTCTTCATTGTCCGCAAATCTCTTACCGCCAAGCCATTTTTTGAGATTAGGGAACAGAAAATAGTCACTCGGGGCTAGGTCTGGAGAGTAAGGAGGGTGCGGCATCAATTCAAACTTTAGATCGTTGATTTTAGCCGTCGCAACGATTGACGTGTGCGCTGGTGCGTTATCGTGATGAAACAAGATTTTTTTCTTCGCCAGATGAGGTCGTTTAATTTTCACCTCGTGGCTCAAACGTTGCAATAAGTCTGCGTAGTATTGACCAGTGATAGTATTACCCTTTGCAAGGTAATCAATGTATATAATACCTCTTGCATCCCAAAAAACAGTAGCCATAACCTTGTTCGCCGAAAAAATTGTTTTTGCCTTCTTTGGAGTTGGTTCCCCTGGTCCAATCCACTGTTTAGACTGTTCTTTGGTTTCAGGAGTGTAGTGGTGGACCCACGTTTCGTCAACGGTTACGAATCGACGCAAAAATTCGCTTGGATTACGCTTATACAATGACAAATTTGCGGTAGAAATGTTTTTTCGAATCAATTTTTGGTCGACTGTTAGCAAACGCGGCACCCATCTTGCACAGAGCTTTTCCATATGCAAATGTTGGTGCAAAATATGTTGCACACGTTCATATGACATCTTACAGGTCTCAGCTATCTCACGCACTTTCAATCTGCGGTCTCCCAGCACTATTTGATGAATTTTTTCGATCATATCTGGAGTTGTGACCTCAACGGGGCGTCCTGAGCGAGGCCCATCAGAGGTGCTCACACGACCCTTTTTAAACTCGGAAACCCACTGCTTAACGGTTGAATATGACGGGGAGGATGTCCCCAGTGTTGAGTCCATCTCTTTTTTAATTTCCTTCGGCGTTAACCCCTTCAAATAAAAGTATTTGATGACAGCACGATTTTCCTGCTTTTCCATTTTTACGAAAACCACAGAGGCGTCTTGTTCAGCGTGCTGTCAAACCTACACTAGCAAGGAGATCGGGCTGAAACTATAGCTACAAGCTATCCAAGGATGGTACTATAGAATGTCACCTCAAGGTAGGCCTAGTGGCGTCATCTCTTGGTTAGGCCGGAAACTTATCAATCCACCCTCGTATAATTTCAGTCTAATGTAGCAATGCATAAATCATAATACATGGCATTCATCTGAGTTCAACAGATGAAATCGTAAAGGTATTTAATGGTTTTTCGTTTAATTGGCTCTAAATTAACAGATAGCATAAATAAGCCTACCAGGATTATTAAAATACCCAAAAACAAAAGTAATCACAAATCCTAGCAGCAAAGCAATATGGTTCGACATGACAACAGACGCAAATGAATATCTATATGAGATTTTACATAATGCTCTTTGTAAGAACAAACCCGTTATTGCTATGTTACTCAACAGATTAGAAAAATACAGCATAACTATGATTCCATTACTTTCTCTTATGGACTTCCATAGTTTGTTTTTGTTTTTGTTCTCCTACTTTTTCTAATAAATCATCATTCCTAACACCACAAAATCAAGAAAGTGCAAATAGCGGTATCCGAAAAGAAAATTTAAAAGCAAAAAATAGTTAGCTTAAAATTACCAAACGAATGAGAAATGCAGAGTCAAAATCAGTTGGAAACCTTTTGTCTTATACTTCGTAGGCAGTGGTTTCGAGGATTAAATTGCAGGTTTTCAAAGTCTCTTCAAAGCCTCTTCTTTCGTTGCAAAACAACTTTAAGTTTTTCGAAATTTAGTAAAATGAGATGTGTCGTGCATAATCGCAAGTATCACACATTCACGCTTCAACCGTGGTCCAGTTCTAGAAGATGATAGATATAGAGTTTAAAACATCTGAATATAAAAGTTATTCCGAAAATTTAATAAAACAGTAGAAAGCAAAAACAAGCATCGTTAATACATTGTGTGACATAAATAAGAAGTAATTTGAGCATCTAACTAGAGTTATCTTGAAGAAATTTTAAAGCACTGGACGAAAAATTAGAGAAATTCGAAGAAAAAGCTAAACAAAAATTTTGAAGGAAAACTAAATGAAAATTTCAAAGGTTTAGAAGAAAAGTTAAGTGGAAAAATTGGCTGACGATTGCGACTTCGATTGGACAGACCAAGAACTCTTATCGACGCATTAAATCATGCGCATCAATATGGTGCAGTCTGGCAGGCGCATTGAGAAAGAAATTTAAAAACGAATCGAATTGAAGGTGAATTAATCGAGAAGAAATGCAAAAGCATGCGATATTCCTACAGGCAGATAACCAATGATCCCATGAAGGGCACGTATGACATGAAGACCACTGATGGAGGATTCCAAGAAGGAGGCCTAGTGTAGCTATACAATCCGTAGCATCAGAGGGGTCTATCACCCCAAACTGCAACAGCATTGAGAAGGTCCATACAAAATCGTCAAGCGAATAAATGATGTCATTTACCAGATTAGAATGAAAAACCCAATGTCGTCCATTGACTCCATACGCTAGTGATATACCAAGCTTGAATTCCAAATTTAGATTTGGAGTAACATCTGAAAGGCCCCAAGATTTATTTGCTGCCCCAAATGAATAATCGCTGACTCTCTGTATGGCCGCAGACTTCAATATGGACCGCCGAATAGCTATGGATTTCAAAAGGAAGCTTAGTCAGCTATGGATTTGCAAAATCAACCAGAAATGGAAAAAAGGTATTAAATTAACCAGATGGGAACCGATTTGTATATGACCTTATCATCAAACCAAAATAGTGTGGAAAACCCACTTACCGTTCGTTATGGCATTCTTTGGTTGAATTAAGAGAACTAATAATCAATACGTTGATCCTTGAGTATGCTCGCATGCAGGGATCGATACATGGTCAACAAACTTTGTACTATAAACGCGGAGGGTAACAAATCTTATCCTGAGTGACACAAAGTAGAAAAACCAAAATCTTCTGAAAATTAAGACTATTCAACGATAATGTCAATAGGCCCCTGGAGTTAGTTGGTCGATGACATAAATAAACAATACGATTTAAATACAATGGCGAGTAAGAATTTAAATAAGAAATAGTTTAAATAAATAACTATGATATAATCCCTTAAATAAGTAAAATAAATAGATACGTACTAAAAACTCGTTACAAAGTTGAATATTAAGATAAGAAAAACTTGTAGAAAGAGTAACTTATATCTCAACATAGCTACATATATTGTTTGTGAATTGTTAAGGCTTGAATACATAGCAAGAGCCAGAAATACATGAGAAAAGGAAATATCTATACCTAACTATGAGCTTGAAGTGAAAATACAAAATCATAGGAATACACAGTAATTAAATATTTTGATCAATTACACAAAGAGCTACACAGTTCGCAAAGACCCATATGATGGGTTCCTGAAAATGTTTCAAATTAAGCACAATCTAATAGTTTAACCCAGATACAATTTTTCTTAGGTCAGTAAAAAATAAATAAACGTTTAACCGTAAGTTCATAAACTTAAGCATTTGTTGTAGGATTCTATATGGTTAATTATTTATAAATAATTATTTCAAACTCCTATACAAGTCTCAGATCTCTTTCACCCTTATATCTTCGGCGCACCAACAGCCCTATGCAGAAGCAGACATTGTTGTGACTATTGTTTACAATGGATTTGATTTAACTGTACAATTAAAAATAAACAGGGCAACATGAACTAACCATAACCTTACTTTCAATAATTTTATTTTTTCTGTCTGTTATGCCCTCTTAAAGCTTAAGATATAAAGATAAGATAAAGTTACTATCATTATTTAAAGATACTGTAGTAATAATACATCTAAATAACGCAGTCGTTAGTCAAAGTTCTCAGTGTATATTTTATGAGACAACACTGCAACCGGAAATGCTTTACTTGTAAACGACGATGGACGTAGTATGAGCTGCACGAAGGTACATTTTGCAAATAAACTTCCGGGTAGCTCATAGGAAACAATGCACATGATTGTGAAGTAATACATGTATTAAGTATTACATGTTATGTTAAATATTATGTACTATGTTGTGTATTAGATAGGTATGTGAAAACTAATGAAAACGAATTATCATTATTTTTGTCGGCAAAACTGTTTGTTCTTGAAATATACTGCATATTTACAGTTACCTTTTCCAGGATGCTATTCATTATGATTCAGTATTTCCCAACTCACTAAATACGAATAAATAACATGAGACATTCATTTGTTGGTTTTTTGGCCCGAAATGAATAGAATAAAATAAACATTCCTTACCTCTTGTTGTTTTCGTTCGCACATGTTTAGAATAGCCCATGGGGTACAAAATAGCCCAGTATCGATCTACAGAGACAGCTACCAAACAGAATATGGAAATAGTACATAAAACAACGAGTAGTGACACTGTAAACAGACACGCATGTAAATTTCTAGGTAAACCCACAAATGCCAATATGGCAAAAGGAATTCCCAGAAGCCCTACTAGAAAGTCTGCAGCAGCTAAAGAAACAATATAATAATTTGTTCTTCTTCTTAATTTCTTTTCTTTATGAAACACAGCCATCACCATGGCATTTCCTAC